ATATTTTAGTCAGAATTATTGCGCTCCTCTTTAATTGAGCTCTGTTTGTTTGGCGCGCATGCGCACGGCGGCGCTCGTTCACTGAAGTTTAGCGGAGAATCCCAAAGCAGAAGGTTCATGCACTTCTGACAGAAAAATTTAATTATTTACATGGCTTTCTAACATTTACAGATGGAGAATATACCTGTGAAATGTAAGTTATGCATTCAGGAAGACAGCACATCTCAAACACATTAAACAGCGCGAGTAGCCTAGTGTCTCTGTCAGCGGCACATGCAGCCTTTCTGTCAGAGCATATGACGGGCCGAGCCGCTTAAACTAATATGCGAAAAGAAACTATAAACTATGTCTTACCAGTTTTTAAAGGCCTTAATATGAAGCTTGTCACATGTTTAAAACAAATTGGATTATGCACTTTCTTCGCAGCAGCTCAGTCTGTGTCCTCCGCTATATTTTCAGATGCGCTCGCATCAAACTACTGTATATCGATATAAACGGTATTGCCTCGTATCGAATCGCTTATAAAGAAAATATCGATATATCATACAAATTCGATATACCACCCAGCCCTATATACAGTATACAGTATACTTACAGATATACAGTAAGTCAAAAATATAGGGAAAAAAAAACACTGCTCAGTTTAAATGTAGTAAAATCTGTACCGTTAAGCGTTATCACCGTACCGCCTTGATGTTACGCCAAACACATTCTGTTTTACGTGGATATTGGAACGCGAGTGAAGTAGCCTACAAAACCAGGTTTACATAAATAATATTTTGGCATTCAAATACATTGCGAATACGGAAACATTTGCTTTTGTGTCGAATGAGAGACCCAATGTTGATTTCAGTTTCGTTTTAGCCTAAATTAATTCCTTTTGGCTTGTCGTTTACATAGCTATAGCTTCTTATATTTTTAATTCTTGTTATTTTCTGAATACTAAATTCAAATAATTTGCTGTGGAGTGAGGGGAACTAAAATAGTCTAGCCTAGCTATGTTTACAATGTTTATTATAATGTTTGTAAACATTTCGCATCGGCATTAGGCCTATTTCTGAATTAAATAATAAAATGCGACTTATACATGACGTATGTTTTCTTCTCTGAAAAAACACAATTTTATTTTAGACGCGTAGTGTATTTTAACCATGCAGCAAACCTTTTAAAATATTTTGATAAATCACTGGAAAAAAATAAATAAATTACTTTTTAAACCGTTTAACAGATTGTATTAATCAGTCAAAATTCTTACGGTCGGTTAATGGTTAACTGGTTAAAATGAGCATTCCTAATTAGAAGTAATCTAAAAACATTTAGAAACATGAGAACCTGACTTAAATTATTAACTTAAACATGCAAAAATATTGTAGCATTGGTTGCTTGATCAATGTGCTAGATAAATTATGTTTCATGTGCCAATTTAGTAATCATCACATGGAAATGAAACATGAATTTACATTGGACTAAAAAAAAAAACCAATAAAACAACAAGGTGACATTGCCACATCATATAAAAAGTTGCCACACGCCACTGGACTGGAGAGATGAGACAAAAGGAGAGCAGAAGTAAAGACAGAAGACAGTCGAAAGTCTGGAGGTGAAAGTACCAACCTGGCAGTGGAGGGATCTGTTTGTTCCCGGGATGTTCTGTTGGCGGAACCAGAAGGGCATCTTCCGTCATCTTAACTGGAGTGGATACCGCCACTGGTTTGGAGATGCGCTCCTCCTCGCGACTCCTGTGGCTACAGAAACACAAAGCTCACAGTTACAAACTGAGCCTGGTTTTGTCTCTGCTTATAAGTAGTTGACAAATAACATGGACATTAACTTAATTAATCAAGATTTTAGGCTACATTGTACAAGGCAAAAAATATTTTTATGTGTGTATTAAATGACCACTTATTTGTAATCACCTTGCTACATGCATAAAAACAAAACAAAAAAAAAAATACTAAAAAACACTATCAAACACATCAATATTATGAAATAATGATAGGTGCCTTTACAGGCTGACACCATGATGCAAGCAAAAATTCCTGTTGGGCAAGTTACTAAAGACCTCAATAACACTGGTGGCATTTCACAAACTGTACATAAGATTTTGATCAGCACATATACAAGTTTCTGAGAACAAGTCAGACATTATATTTGTTCCATCTGAATATGAGAGCATCCTGAAGGAAGAGTGTGTAAACAAATGCACAATACAGAAGGATCATGAACACAACAATACTTGAAAACAGCAGAGATAAAGATTGCTCATTAGACAGCACCAGATGCCAGTGCTTTATGTCAGACCGTTTCATTTTTCTCTTGCTAAAAATTAGGACAGATATTAGAGCAGTGATGGCCTTCCAGGCCACTTTCCTGCAGAGATTTGATCCAATCCTGATAAAACTCACCTGCCTGTAGCCTTCTAGTAGTCTTGAAGACAATGATTAGCTGGTTCAGGTGTGTTTGATTAGGGTTGGAGCTAAACTCTGAAGGAAAGTGGCCTGGAAGGGCCAAGTTTGCCCAACCCTGTATTTAGGGATGTGCGGGTCTAGTCGACTAAACGGTACAGCTCCTACTAGTCGACACTGAAAACAATAGTCGATTACACGACAGAAACCCCCCACCACAATTTTATCATTCAAATTACCGTCATTTTAACATTGCATTTAAAACATTTTAAATAACAAGTTAAAATAAAACGTTTGAAAAATAATACATTATTTTTAAAAGTTTATCTGGGCGGAAACTACATTTTTACCTCAGACCTCACATGCGTTTTCTTCGTGTCAGTTGCGGCAAATTCAAAAATGACCACGCGAAAGACGAGAAGGTGTGGGATTATTTTGAATTAGAAGGAAACGGAAAAGTTTTGAGTAAACTGTGTAATGTCAAATTGTCTTACAATAACTACTTGAGCGACGCGTAATCCTATTCAATACAGGCACGTAGGCGTTAGCTTAGAGGCTGGCCAAAGCCAGCAAATGTCAATCACGTCATTCACTACAACCCGCCGGCGCTGTGATCCCATCCGCGCCGTCTATTCCTCTATTCCTCAACACCCACTTCGGTGGAGGTGCGGGATGTCCAGGCGCTTTCTGAAAATCTATTGGCTTGCTTTTCATTATCTCTGCGTGCCTGCGACTTCAGTTCCTGCCGAGCGCGTTTTTTCAAGTGCAGGAATTTTATTGTTAATAGCCTCAGGTCCCGTCTTTCACCAGACCACGTTGATAATTTCACTGAACAAATAACGCATGGTCTGAGTAAGTAAAAATTTTTTTAGACAATATAGCCTACACGAAGTACGTTTTTAAAAGCCGTTTTAATGCTATTTCGTGATAAACCTTCCTATTGTTTTTGACTTGTGTTTTAATATATTGGCTAACGTTATATGAAGATGAAGAATTCTGTCAGGCTATTGATTGATTTTCCATTGTTCTGCATTTCCCCAGCTGATTTGAATAAATAAGCTATGCTTTGGCCGACGTTGAGTGTATGCTCTTCTTTTTTTTCTTTTTAACGACCGCCTAAAATGAAATGATAACGCGAGGCAAGTGTGCGGCAAGCGGAATTCATTGAGGGATTTGACAGTGTGATTCATAGATTAAGTATTTCAAATATAGGCTATTATATATGCTACACGCACAGAGGTTTTCTTTTGGGGGTTTCTTGCTTTTAGACTAGTCGACAAGTCGGATACAAAACTTTCATTTAAACGTCAGTCAAATTAGTCGTCGCGCACATCCCTACCTGTATTAGAGCTTCTTTTAAAACTGTAAACATGAACACAACTCACAGATATGTAAAATGCTTTGAGGCATCACAACTTCTCTCTGTTGCACATTCTAATTTCTGGATGTGTACAGACACAGAAAGCTGAAGAAGTGTATGATGAGTTTAGGATCAGGACTGCACTCTAGAATTATGGGTAGATTTTAGAGTCACATGGCTGGTACAGTATGGCTCAGACAGGAAACAGACCACACCTGAAATGTTCATTTTTCTCTTCAATTAACAATTAGCATTGTTGTGCTAGCTGAATCAGTAAAAACAAACAGATTTCTGCCGAGAAATTAAATGCTTATCTGTCAGAAAAAAAAGAGACCTTGTCCTTGTTGCCTAGCAGTGTACTTTATCTTAAATCTCTTATGCCCTGGACATGCACAAAAATACACTGCCACACACAGATACGCACACACACACACAAAGGCCTACATAAAGTCCAGGCTCTCCTTTGCTCTGTTGGTTTTCTCTGTACTAACACATCCATCACACACGGGCTAAATCCTCCACTCACATTCTCCTGCGTTTGTTTCTCATGAGACCTGTTACAATCTCACTGAAATGCTTCTATGTGCATTTGTGCATTGAATCTCTATAAAAATCACCCCTTTTTATAGTGTGTATATACATTATATATATTATGTGTATAAAAACACTTTTTTTCCCCAAACGAACACCATTCTTGTGACTATTTTCTTGTGATTACACAGCAAGAAAAGCCATTAAACTGGTATTTTTATTACAAGTAGGAAAATATTCTTTGTTTTACGTATGAATTACAGCAGGTGAAATTATTTTGTAAATATGCAATATAGAATAGGCTATAAACCTAGAAAACCTATTACATCACTACGTTTGAGTCAGCAAGGAATACAGACTGCAAACACAGCTTCAAGAATATCTTATGTAAGAACCAAAAAAAATGGGTTAATCTTTGTTCTGAAATTATTCCTTAACACATTATTTTAAAATGTAAAATATACACAAAATACTAATACATACATATACACAAATTAATTCATTATTTAATTTAAATGTAAATTTAAATATTATTTTAAATTTAAAATAAAAACCTTTTTTTTGTTTTACTTTTTTTATTGATTTTAATTGATTTAATCAATTTAACCGATTCATGTAGGTTAATCTTTCCTTCCCCAAGCAGTTTTAAATCACTGAATTTAAGCCGATTACTTCTTATTTTCTTTATTACGCTTATGTAGAGTACTCTGAATTACCATTGTGTATGGAATGTAAATCTAGGCGATATAAATAAACTTGCCTACCCTATCCTAATACAGAAACAACACTGAATCAACACACTTAAGTACTCTTGAGAAACTTTATGTAGAGGAGATAGATTCAAAAGCTGACAGCTCAGAGAGGAGAGAGAATGCATCTCTGTGGCTTGTACAGTGAGGAAAAACCCATCTGGTGATGCAAATTTTTGCATCACCAGTGAGGGAATTGTGTTGTCTCTTGTGTGCCAAGGTTAATGAACACACATGCAGAAAAATAAATTCAGGCGCATTTCTGCATAACAGCCTTGACACCCACTGGCAGTTTCCACAAACAAACACACACACACACACACACACACACACACACACACACACACACACACATACATACATACAGAGCTAGTTGCCGCTGCACTACCAGCTCAATATGACAGAATGCATGCTAATTTCACTACAAGCACATTGTAATGCACCACATCAAATGCATTAAAAGTGCATTTTACAAACTAAACTGTCCATATAGAACGCAGGACCCACACATTAAAAGGACTATGAAAAAATTGCACAAAAAACACATTCACAAACAACAAAACAACCTAATATCCATGCACTCAGACTCAATCTACAAAAACTATCCACTGTGTACAGAGCACAGCACTTACAGCGGGAGCATTCTGGTGAGAAGAGAGCCCCTCAGCCTGTGTAGAGACAGAGCAGTTATTCAACAGCGAGTGAGTGATGCATGGCTCTGAGATATTAGCCTGGCTCACTGACAAACAGGTTCATTATCCCCCAAAATGCCTCCAAATCTAGCAGTCCAAGTCCAGTAAATTACTTTTTAGACCATCCATTTTTGTAGTGGTGCTGAAGGAGGACCCTAGAGCATTCCCATGATGCCCAGTCCTGTTAATCATCCAGATAGTGAAGAGAGACGAGCCAGTTTATATTTATACAATGTGGCTTGATTAAATCAGTTCACATTAATAATTGTTTAATAATAATTGTATGCCTGTATGTACACTATGCTCCCCAAGGCTGCATTTTTTTAAATCAATAATACATTAAAAACAGTAATATTGTGAAATTTCAACAATTTATAATAACTTCTATTTTTAATATATATTATAAATTGTAATTTCTTTGTTTGATGGGAAAGCTGAATTAGCAGCCATTATTCCAGTCTTAAGTGTCACGTGATCCTTTAGAAATCATTCTAATAAGAAGATTTCATGCTCAAGAAACATTATCATCAACATCAAGAAACATTATCAATGTTAAAAACAATGTTGAAAACCTGCGATACATTTTTCAGGATTTTTTGCTGAATAAAAAGCTCAGAAGAACAGCATTTATTTGAACTCTTTTGCAACATTATGAATGTCTTTACTTTCACTTTTGATCAATTTAATGCATCCATGCAAAAAAAAAAAAAAACTATAAAGAAACATACATTAGTTTAAATATGTGCAAGTCTTAGTTCCATCCAAGGTTTCATACTTATCTTAGAGAGTGTCCCTTGCCATTATCAAGTTTGACTTTACTGGGGGTCTTGCTAGGCACTATAATATTTGTTTGTAAATCTGCTTTGGAACAATAAGAAATGTGCCATAAAATTAAACTGAAAATTAAAATGAAAACTGAATTGACTTTAGCTCTAGCATCTTTATATTCAATATCATTCAGTGGAGATCGATGATTCTATTAATATTATAGACACTGTCAACATGTGTAAAGCAGACTATGTACACACTCAATCACACACACACACATGCTAGAAATTGTTACAGCTGTGGCTGTTTTCTGAGACTTGAAAGGCATCAGTGTCTTGTTGAGGTGAGAGAGCCGATAATGAGGTGTAATCTGAGTTCAGATATTAAGTGAGACGCTGCTGTAGACAGACAGGTGGAGGATGTGTGGGGACGCGGGGTGTGAAATTTCATTAAAATACAGCCTGTGGCAGTGTGGGGATGTGGGAAGTAGAGAGCAGCTGCTTTAATGCCAAGAAAAATGGCGTATCCCCTGGGAAAGGACCGGCACCTTGTGGCATTGTCATCCTTTTCATCCTTGTCTCTTTACATACTCACAATCTCCTGGAAACACCATCTCGTGCTCTTTCTGTCTTACTTCCATCTGTTTTACACACTCTACTTATCTCTCATGATTTCCTTTGGCCCTCATCCACCACTTATAAAATGTACCATGGTAACCACAGTTTCCGCCATAATACCATAAACATAATATCATTACTACTGTTATTGACATAGTGGAGTATATAATTATAATTAAGAGAACCTTTCAACCAGTTTTATTTAGGGCTGTCTATCAATTTTAAATCACATGAATTATGTGAAACTCTGATTAATTAAAGGGGTCATATGATGCGATTTCAATTTTTCCTTTCTCTTTGGAGTGTTACAAGCTCTTGGT